TGTATTAAATTTTTTTATTTTAATTTACTGTACATATTTAAATTTGGGGAAATTAGGTAGATGCACTTTCTTCTGTCAGTTTAGTTTGATCTTCAGTTACCATTTTCCGAGATCTTTCCAACAACTTATTCCATATTGTAAAATGTGCTCTTAAGTGCACATATTGTAAAGAGAGACCCTGGAATCTTCACAGGAGAGTTGACTGGGTAGGTTGAAGATTATGAACTGCAGCCACTTCATATTGGAAACAAATACTTGTTCTTGGAATAAGAGGGCCCTCACTCACATCAATGAAGTCACCAATTCTATGTAGCTTAACAGTTCTCTCAGGGTTCTGAGATGCCTTCTGTTCTATGAAATCTATTTTGTACTTGCTGTGTTGAAATATTTCTAATGCCACTTGTGCTTCAACTTCTAAAGTTTCAAATGGAAGATCTTTATAAATTAAAGCATGAGCATCTCTTGTGAAGGAACGAAGGTTCTCTTTTGTTGTCATCCATTCATCAAGTCTCTTATCCAAAACTACATCGTAGCAAAAGGCTCCAGCAATTACAGGAATTCCTGGAGCTCTGACCAAACTAACCATGTATTCATTTTTGAAGGCCCTTTCTATTACACAGCCCATCATCATGGCACAAGAATGCCAATAAGCCTTATTTACTTCTCCTGGATCAGGATCTTTAAAAGTAAGAAATTAAATTTCACAGGACTTGATCAACGGCTTATACATGTCCCAAGGCTGTCCATCTACAAGAGCCAGGATGGATTTCCTGTAGTACCACTCATTCAAATGCATGGTACAACTATAAGGAGTTGAAATGCTTTTATTCATCACAAAGACAGTTCCAGGGTCAGTTTTTCCAACATGTTTAACTTCAATCTTCTCAGTTCGTGGAGTTAATGATAACTGTCTGCTTTTCTCTTTATTAAAGAGATCATTCCGCATTTCTGTCAATTTGGTCGGTGACAGCTGAGAAGCTGATGATGTTGCTATAAATCTCCAGCCAGCCCCGTCGCCAGGGACTACCTGCAGAAGCCGCAGACACCGAACAGCCCGAGCCATTGCCTCCATCGCAGCCAGCGGAGCCGCGGTGCAAAAGTCCTTTTTCCTCCCCCGGAAATAGAGCGCGCGCCCCGGGTTCCTCAGTTCAGTTCGGTTCCGGACCCGGAGCTCCGGCGGCGCGCCGCCACACGGGGGCGCGTTCGCGCTTCGCTGAGGATTGTATTCGACAATGCGGAGTCCTGGTGCAGGGACGCGATCCCGAGCGTGGCACGGAGGTGCTAGGACCCCCAGGGCCCAATTGCTATATATTATTTGACTGGTAAAGAGAATTTACCCAACATAAAATACACCTCAGACCAGACCAGTTGAGAATACTATACGCATTATCTCCAATAGGTAATAAACCAATTCTATGTCCCATAAATGTCTTACCTATAAATTTTTTCTCCCTGAGTTTTGTATACTCTTCCCTCTCCCACCCTCCTTCCACACATTATCTCCAGTATCCATAAGTATTTTCACTGCTTTTATGCCCTCCAATCTTTCAGTCTCTACCATAAGTGCAGACAGTTGGTACATATTAAGTGGGGCATACAATATCTCTCTTTCATAGCTTGCTTCACTCAACAATACACCTTCCATATTTGACTACTTTCTGCCAAATGCCAGGATCTTGTTGATTTTTATGGCTCCAGTTTATCTTTTATACTTACCTATTTCTTTCTTTTTCTTTTTTCCCCCTACTTTCTTACAGTTTAGGACCTCAGTAATCTGGTCTTCCAAGTAATTTATTTTCTTACATTTAATCACTGTACATCTTTACAGTGGACAACATGGTCATCCCAGCATGCATTCAGTCCATATTAGTCAAGTCAGAGACATTGTCATGTATATTAGTAAGAGATATCTTTTCATTTTTGTGTATTTTAAATCATTTTTTTAACTCATCTTTTTTTTAACCTTTTGAAATATTGCTCACATTCATTACTTTCTTCAGTTTGGTAATTTTTATTATTATTTTATTATTATTATTATTATTTTGCTATAGGGCATGTGTGCTTGCCAAAAAGAGAGAAACAGAGAGACAGAAAGCAAGCAATCACTCCCCCGGGGGATGGCCACATCGCAATCCCTTCTCCTCCATTCTCCTCTTGGGATCTTGGGCACACATGCACACAAGCCCAGCGTGAGTTTAAGCCACCAGGTCCGGGACTCAAACCATGGTCGACTACATGGGAGTCCAGCAACAAAACCATTATGCCAACTACTGGTCCCAGTTTGGTAATATTTTTTTTTATCCTAACATTATTGATTTTTAATTTTTCTATTTTCTATTCTGATTTTCTATTAATACTGTCTCTCATTTCTTTTATTATATTTATTGTGCATACTTCAAATCACTTATTCTCTCTTTATGTGCTCTGAGTTGTGTAATTTTTGTTTTATTATTGAAATAATACATTATTATTGTCCTGTGAGTTCTCATGCTCCCTAGAATATTGGTTATTCTTTTTGACAATGTGCTCAGGACAAGGGTTTAACATCTCTGCTAGTCCTAGGAGTTGAAGGGAAAAGGTAGGGTAGCCTTTAGTGGAAGAGATCTATAGTTGGGAGCTATAGTTATTTCCGCATGATTTTTAGCATTTTTATCTACCCCAAAATTTTTTTACTGGTTTTTTTTTTTTCATTTCAATTTCTTTCATACATTCAATCATGTTATTTAGCTTGCAAAATGTGGCACATATACTCTATGGAATATAAATTTTTGTATTACATCTTTCCCTTTAAACCATTAGGGCAAAACATAAATTATTTGAGGAAGAAGAAGTTTACTTAAAAAGTAAAAAAATCAACACTGTCTATTTGGTGGCGAAGAGTTGGAAAGCTGAATGAAATAGGATCAACTTTTTTTTTTTCTCAACTTCATTTGCCAGAAGGACTTTTGTGCTTACATCTGAACTCTTTTTGTTTCTTTTATTTTGTTGCACTCAATGACTGTACATCTTTACAGAATACAAAATGGATTTTACCAGCGTGAATATAAAGGCAAAGATTTTACCATATAAATTATCACTACCAGATAATTATCCATCCTTGTGTTTGTTAAATAATTTTGCTTCTTGGTTTTTCTTTTCTCCTTGATTCCCTTCTTCCTTCCTCCCCCTTATCGTCCATCCTCCTCCCTCACTGTCTCTGCTGTCTCATTTCTGCAGTAAGGAAAAGGCTAAGCAGGAGAGCAGCAAGAGTAGACGTGAATCCATTTCCCCACCACCCTTCCATCATGTTCTTACAGAGAAGTAATAGACCTTTTCTCATTGTCAAGTCTTAATCCCACCTTCTGCACCCATATCACATTTTAGTTTATAACTCTCTTCCTTTTCTTCATGGATTTCTCACTTATTGATGTTATTATTGTGATTTCTTGGATTGTTTTCATTTAACCTAAGTTTTTTATGGAGTGTTTTAGTAGGTGAGAGCCATCTTTCAAAGCTACACACTATGTAAGAACTGGAACCTGAAGGCTTTGAAAAATAAAATCAAGAGCAAAAACAAAACAGATAACAAGGTCTGGAAAATCCCCTTTTAGACAGATTTGGAATAAAAACTTGCTGCATTTTAGCTGCTGTTCTGATTTTATTATATCACAATATCCAACTTTCATTGGAGGTACCCCAGAGCAAACACCACACTAAGAATAAAGAAACACATGTATCCCTGAGGACACTTATCAAATGAAAAACACTCTGCACCCATTCCTCCTGTGCTCCATGGTGAGTGCTGGTGGGAGGCAGACAAATTATGAAGTTCGAGCAATTATGTGTTTGTTTCTGAGGAGCAGCCAGGGGAATCATACTCCAGAGGCCCAAAGCCTATTAATAGTCCCATGACAATGTACACAAAGGCCATCTAGGATTTATGGCAGAAATGCACATGGATAATTTTTATTGTCTCAATACAACCTGAAGCCCTGGATCCACTCACCCTTCTTATTTTTTATGGGCTAAGAAAAGCCCTGAACCCTCTTATCTGAAGAAGAGCTGCAGTAAATGGTATGTTCCTCCAGTGGAAAATTCTGTTTAGGTCAGAAAAATAAAGTGAGTACAATGAGAAAGGGCAGGATTATACTTTTCCCTCTGAGACCTACAAAGGTCTGAATGAGCATCCATATCTTCTGTCCCTCAGAACATGATAAGATGAGCAATGGGAACTTCACCCTTGCCTTCTGCTGAGTAAGAGTTTTATGTCAGAAGTAGCCATATTCCAACATACTTAAGAGCATGGCTCCAGAGTTCCATTTTGTGTTTACAAAAACCTTTATGATATTATGCAAGTGACTTAATTTCACTACACTTGCAAACAACACCTTGGTAAAATGTATGGAATAAGATTAACAAGTATTCAGTTAGATGCTTTATGGTCGAGCACCTAAAGTACAAAATGATAGCTCTTATTGCCTGTGTGTTAGGTGAATCAAAGGGGAAATATATGATAACAATAAAGGCAACCTGGAACTAACTTCTCTAACCAATATCTATCACTTTATTTTTGTGTTTTAATCACTATGCCTGTTTGCTCCCCCTCCCTAGGTGGATTGAAGAGTAGTGAACAGTGGGTAAAACTTGGAAGGAAGTTCGAAGGACCTGGACTATAGACACACATGTGAATAGGGTGAGGGTGGTCTCTATTAGAGAGAAATGTAGGTACCACTATTTCTATAGTTTCATTCATTTTACAGAGGGAGACACAGAGAAAGAGAGAAAGGGACATCCCCTACAATCTTCACACCAAGATCCACCACAGCCTCAGCCAGTGTGAATCACAGGCATGTACACATGCCTGACATTTACAGGGAGACAGTGGGTCATGAGCCCAGAACCCTTCTAGAATCCTTTCATGTGGGTACAGCATTGTAGAGCTTTGCATTACTACCATGCTACTGTCCAGGTTTCTACAATTTTTGACATGTCTCTCTTCTTCCTTCCAGAAGATCCTTGGAATGGACAAAAGTAACCAATCCAGTGTCTCTGAATTCCTCCTCTTGGGTGTCTCTGAGAAGCCAGAACATCAGCCTCTTCTATTTGGCATCTTCCTGAGCATGTACCTGGTCACTATGCTGGGGAACCTGCTCATTATCCTGGCCATCATCTGTGACCCACACCTCCACACCCCTATGTACTTCTTCTTGGCCAACCTCTCTTTTGCTGATGCTTGCTTTTCCTCTGCCACAGTCCCCAAGATGCTGGAGAACATCCAGACACACAGTCAAAGAATATCCTATCATGCATGTTTGGCTCAGATGCACTTTTTCATGACATTTGGGGCACTGGATGACTTCCTATTGGGGGTGATGGCCTATGATCGCTATGTGGCTATCTGCAGGCCTCTTCGCTACTCCACACTCATGAGTCCTCTTGTGTGCATACTTCTTCTCACAGCGTGCTGGCTTCTCACCAGCCTCGCTGCCCTCTTACACACCCTGCTCATGGCTAGGCTCTATTTCTGTGCAGACAACACTATCCATCACTTCTTCTGTGATGTGGTCCCTCTTCTGCAGCTCTCCTGCTCAGACACTAGCACAAATCAGGTGGCCCTGTTCACAGTGGGCTCCACGATACTCACCGGCCCTCTCTCCCTAATCATCCTGTCATACGCACACATCCTCTCTATCATCCTCAGGGTCCCATCTGCCTCTGGAAGACAAAAGGCTTTCTCCACCTGTGGGTCCCACCTCACTGTTGTGTTCTTGTTCTATGGTGCCGCAATTGGTGTTTACTTGTGTCCTCCTTTACCACAGTCAGAAGGTAAGGATAGGATTGCAGCTGTATTTTACACAGTGGTGACCCCTATGCTGAACCCCTTCATCTACAGTCTCAGGAACAAGGATATGAAGACAGCACTGAGAAGGCTTTTGATCTGAGCACTCTTTTCTCATGGACTCTAATGTTATGTTCATATTTGGAGGTTGCTCCCTTCAGGTCTCAGATGATCAGGAGGCAATGTCCCTCCCTCTCACTCCTAATTTGAGCTTTTAGAGAAAAATTATCTAAAAATACAGTCCCATAATTTCAAATCTGGATTAGCATGTGCTTTCTGTACCTTCGTAATAATTTCACAGAGGAATTGTATTGTGGTTAATTTTTTCACTTATTTACCTACTATCTTTAGGGAGATCTCAGTCTTTCCAGGAGAAGATTAATCAAACTTTACTTTAGTTTTAGGTGTTCTATTGAATATGTGAATATTTTTCAAAGATATAATTCATCCAGAATTTATTTACTGTTACTGTTTGCCAGGCACTGTTCTAGGCATGATAAATACTGAGATAAGGAAGATTATGCCTTTAGAAGCCTACTTTCTAGTCCAGCATGTTTATTGTAAAGAACAGCAACAACAAGGTGTTGTGATTGTCTTATCATCAAAGTTAATACTTATTTCATTCTATGTACTTAGCTTTTTAAAGTATTATCTTCCCTAGTTCCTAGGTATAGAACCTCTTGAAGTTGGAACTATGTTTCATGCATTTTTAGAGATGGAGAAACCCTGATTTAAATCCTAGTTGCTGCCATATTTTGTTTTTCAATTCTAAGGCTTATACAGGATATGTGTCCAAAGGAAATGAAATCAGTGTGTCAAAAAGAAATCTGCATTCCCATGTTTGTTGTAGCACTATACACAATAGCCAAGATACAGAATCAACCTAAATGTCCTTAATGGATGAATAAATAAAGAAAACATGGTTTGTAGGCACAATTGAATACCATGTGGCCATTACAAATATGAAATGCTGCAATAACCCTTTGTGCCAGCACTATGATTATCTTTAAAAATGTAGAAACTGAGGTCCAGAGTGAAGTAACTTTCTGCAGTTCACCCAAGTAGGCACCGAAGTACCTACAGTCCGAGGCAAAAGGCTAAATTCCTAGTCACTGTTACATCGTCTTTCAATGTTCATCAAACCACTTTCTGACTAGTTCACTTTGCTACTTATTTTCCATGAGGAAAGAATGCATCATCAGGGAATGTGCATACTCAATTCACCAGTTACAGTTCTCATAACAAATGAGTATGTGAATATTTTGTTTATGCCTCCATCTTTTGTGAATGTGATTGCCAAGAAACTCAATCCACTTTGTAGCAACCCAATGTCTGGACAAGATCCAGTGTCTATACTTGCAAAGTGAATGGTTAGGACCAAGATGTCTACTCTGAGGTGGAACTATCCTGAAAGCCAGAGGCTTTTTCATACCTCTGTCTTATCTCCCCTCAATTGCAACCAAGTCCAGAGTCAGCAGCTAAGTAGACAGTAGGATGCATGTTAATATATTTCATTATATTCATTCAATTATATCACTTTCATCATAAGAATCAGAAATAAATGTACATTTAATTGAGTTTGCATTTTTCTTGCTCACAATTAACCTTCAGGAATGTCATTATTTAATAGAAACCTGTAGTTCAATGTAAATAATTACACTGATTTCAAATTTTAAAATTATGAAATTAAATTAATATATTCGTAATTATTCTGATAGTCTCTGCAAATAAGCTAGAGAAACTTAAAAGCAATTATCTTCTGGGGAAAAGATATGTCAGATTCTTTCATTTGATTATTATTAAGACTGATTTTATTACCACTCTGGGTAGTGTATCTAAGCTGGAGGCATGTATCACAACCACCAGGGAGCATTTATTATCTGTTGAAGATATTTTGTAGTTTTATCAACTGTGTTAGGGAGAAATGTCCACCTGTTGAAATATCCATTTTGTAAGATCAAAAATAAAAATAATAAACCGCATTAATTATCAAAAACAAATAAAACAAACAAAAAACTTGGTGCCCACTGCATCTACACATCTACACACTTAAACTAATTATGATTTTTTTTTTGAGGAGACTATTTGGTTGCATAGAGTAAAGGGAAAAAAATCTTGGGAACCAGCAATTAGCATAATGGCTATGTCGCTGGACTCCCACATAGTCGACTGTGGTTCGTGTCCCGGACCTGGTGGCTTAAAACTTACGCTAGCATGTGTGCATGCATGCCCAAGATCCCGAGAGGAGAATGGAGGAGAAGGGATTGTGGCGTGACCATCCCCCCTGGGGGGTGATTTCTCGCTTTCTGTCTCTATGTCTCTCTCTGTCTGTCTGGCAAGTGCACGTGCCCTATAATGAAAATATCTCCCCCCCCAAAAAAGAAAAAAAATCTTTAGTTTGCATGTATGACATACTGCCTTAAAATTGGTTGTTTATTTCCATTAGAGTATGTGTCCCTTGGTGACAGAGACTCATTTTTATTTATCTTGTTTCTTAATATGTACTCAGAAATCATTTATTGACTAAAACACTGTTAGTTGGGCAGCAAAATGATTTTTTAAGCTATGATAAAACTTTGTAGTATAATTATTTAGCTCCCCAAATTGCCTTTTATTTATAAAGATAATTAATAAAAGAGATGAACCGTAATGAAGATCTTAGGTTGTTTAGGGTAATACATGGAAGATATCCAGATTTTTTTGTGAAATTAAAAAAAGAAGAAAAGAAAAGTATTTATAAATGTTGAATAAGTTAGTCTAATCAATTGTGTATTTGCACAAACATAATTTGTTTACTTTTGGACTAAATATTATTTTTTAAATTAATTTATATACATTCAGTCACATTGTTTAGCTTACAACGTGAACATTTCAATATGTGAACATTTCTCCGCAGTTCAGTTGATCAAAATATCTTAAACAGGTAACATCACAACTCCCCATCCCATCAATGCTCTGCCTCTGTATTTCTCCTCTAAATGTCCTTCCCTAGGCCCCACTCCTCCACACATACCACATCTGGTATTCACACCCATCTCTTGTGTTTGTATATCTTTTGGTCAATCAGTTTCAGTCATAGAGTGCAGACAGTCAGTATATATTAAGTGGGGACATACAATGTCTCTCCTTCATACCCTGGCTTGCATCACTCAGCAGTAAATCTTCCATATTCTTCCACTTTCTGTCAAAATCCAGGGTTTTGTTGGTTTTTATGGCTGAACAGTATTCCATAGAGTATATGTGCCACAGTTTTTCAGTCCATTCATCTGTACAGGGGCATTTGGGTTGGTTCCATGTCTTAGCAATCATGAATAGTGCTGCAATAAACATTGATGTGCAAACACTTTTCCAACGAAGAATTCTTCTGTCCTTTGGGTAGATACCAAGGAGTGGGATTCCTGGTAGTTCTATTTGTAGATTTTTGAGGAATCTCCAAATTGTTCTTCACAGTGCTCGACCAATTTACATTCCCATCAGTAGTGCAAAAGATTTCCCCTTTCACCACACCCCCGCCAACACTTATCTTTTTTTTTTTTTTTTT